TTATAATAGAGAAGCTTAATATATACATCGTGCTCCATCTTCATCTTTTGAATATAAATCTCATTAAAAATTCGAAACAAAAATTAAACTCGGGCATGGAGTGTTTTCAGTAATGAAAATAAAACTAATATCGGAGATCAAAAAGGGTGACTTGCTTTTCAAGTAAAATCTGGATTTAAATACAAATACATATGGTAACTTAATGCGTCCAAACAATGTGTAGGTGCAACCTTTCCCGGTTACCGTGTCCGTTCATGTCGAGTACTAGTATACTCGACTCACGCAAGTCGAATGAACTATTATACACACAACACACAGCCGTCTGAAATTACAATGCCAGTCAATACAGATGACAATCTCTTAGTACAAGATAAGAAAGAAGGTTTGAATCGAACTCCTAATAATCACAGAGCACGGTGATGTAAAATTGTAAATTAGTTTTCGTGTATTCAAAGCGACTAGTAAGCGTCAATAATTAAAGAATTGCAGCTTATAGTCTAAGACGTAATAACCACGCGCATGTTCTTTTCATTTGTGCCCACTTCGAAAAGATTTCGTATTGCTGAAAAATGTGACGTAATCTCGTCCGGTAGAACCAAATGAAAGTGAACAAAGGGGAGAACAGGAAAGTAATTTGACGGAATGTGTACAGCATTGTTATATGAATATATCCATGGTAACCATTTGAACGCCATATTTTTCGACCAAACTTTTTTTCCTGTTGTTGGTATTATAATATTTCTATAATTTATTTTTGATACATATCTGCTTAAGTTTGCGTTTTCAGTTTCCTTCTAGTTAATGGAAACACAATTCCAATAGAAATGTCAGAACCTCAAGAAATTCAAGATAAAAATCAACCACAACAACAAGTAAAGAGAAACGACGCTTAACTATACATTAGGATAAGTGCACGAATAGTGCAGTGTATTTGAGAAGTAAACCTCTTCCGTGATAAGGGTAGAACAACAATAGTATCCACATAGTATCGAATCGCGACACTGTCCTGGCGTGGAGAAAAAAATTCAAAGGACAGCTTAGTTTTGATTTACGAGCACTTCACCTTCATTTTCTACAAAATCTACTGGCGTCAGAAATTGCACGGCGTAAGGGGGGATGTCGAGTTATGACGTCACGTGCCCTCGGATGATTAAAGATCGCTCGCGCGACTACCACGCACCGAGACTAATTCAACAAGGTGGAATACAATAGAATGACTTGTAATCGCATTACTACCGTATGAGTGCAAGCGAACATGAAGTTGAACTGAGGGACGAGAAATAGATGAATCAAGCTTAGTGAATCAAGGCACACATACGGTAACGGAATAGCCAATACGGTCACCATGACAACTCATTTCCAACGGAAATACCACTTGAGATGTGTGTTTTAATTCTGCTAAAAAAACGATAACAGTTTCATTATATACTACGTACGACCTTTGTGAATACATCCCCCCTTGCTAAGAGTGTGTTTGTACGTTATTTTTTGCGAGACATTCCCCGTGAACCACACGTCATTGATCGACAACGCTCCCAGCATGCGTCCGCCAGTTCACATGTCAACTCACACCTCGGGAGGTAGTAATGTTTAGAAAAGGATAAAACTGGGCATTATATCTTTAAGCCCGGCATCATATGATAGACTGCTTTGGATATTGAAAATTAAAAGTGAATATGCATGCGAAAAAACCGTGACGTGCAAACATTTGTGACAAAATTTGAAAAAAAAAACGGTGGTGAAGCACTGTCAATGAGTTAAATGTGTGAGACAAGAAACATTCATGGCAAACATGGCATCATTTTGCGTTCACGTACGTCCTGATAACGATCAATTTTGTTCTTAGCTGGAACGATCACTCCATTAATGGACGAAACAGCGTAAGTATATATAAATGCGATGACCTTTCACCTTTAATATGTCACGCTGTATGCGTCAACTCGTGACAGAGTTATGTAAGACGGCGACGCACTAAAGAATCGCACACGGTGGTGTGGTGTGCGTGTACACATGGTCACTGTCGATCGATCTGTATTATCTCGCTGTGTATTGACAATTTACTCCGTAAATTCACCAAAGTATTGTTTATAACATGGCTGCTCTATATGATACAACGCCTAGCGATTCGGTATATCACATTTACTCGAAGATAACAGAAACTCGAGCCTAATCCAGTGTCCGAGGATGATATTTGGCTTATAAGTGTTGGTCTAATCGATTGATTGATTGATTGATTGACTGATTTGTTGGTTAATTGACAGGCTGACTGACGGACTGACTGACTGAACTGACCACGGAGAGTTGACATCAGTCATAGTGACCAATTAATACTAGATTAATATGAATTCAAATAAAAACAAAAGAAGGTCAGTAGTTACACGGCTAATGATAAGTCCCGGTGAAAGTTATAATCACGGACGTCAACAAGGAGTTTCCCCTGTCGACCATTTCTTAGTCATGAGTGTTAATAACTAAGCGTCGTGATTACTCGAACAACCGAGCTGACAAATCAGAGAAAATGTGACACGAATCAATTCTGCACCGATAAATATTTGAATATATACCGTGGACGCGAAAGTACGACCCACCCAGACAAATATGTACTCTATAATTAGGTACTGGAGTACTCCTCAAATGTTTTATATCTTATACGATATGGGTTTAATGTTTCATGTTCCACGATGATATTATTCATTGGTGTTACGCTTTTTCTAAATTGCGGAAAAAAGGATACGACAACGGTTGTTCAGTGTATCTGCTACACGATTGATTCTTATCATCAGCTGATTTATCTATCGGCACCTTTGAGCTGTTATTCACTTTCGAATACGCCATTACGAACACTGTCCTTTCATTCCTTCAAGCTCAGATAATGAATTCAAACTGAACCCGAACCATTCCTCCGAATAACCTTTCACACCGGAAATTCCTGATTTTAAGTTTAATCGACGCAAAATATGTACGGCCTTCAGAAATGAATTACTATAATAATATATTTTGTTTAAACATGCAAATTTACAAGTGGCCGGGAGGTATATCGGATTAACAACGATATATACGATATTATTTCGGATAATCCGCGCGGCTTTATTTAATATAATGGCTGTACGATGCGATGTATAGTACAGACGACTCGTCTAAGTAAGATATGCGACTGGGGTTAAATTCATCTCTGATTTATGTGCATAAATAGAGAGCCAGCTACCTAACGCGATTACAAAAAGCAAATTGGAAAATAAATCAATTAATGTTTAAACCTAGCTTTTTTGGTCTCAGAGCAGGTGAAACAGAGTTTCAAAAATTATAGGTTAATGTGAATGAAAAAATCTCCAAATAGACAACAACACTGATTGTGTGGGAGCGGAATGAGTCTGTATGACAGCGAAATTGAAATCTTCTAGTAGAATGATTCGGAGATTGCTAATAAGTTTGCCTCCCTTGTCTAATTCTGCTGATTATATACTCAATAAAGATTAACCTAAAGCCGAATGTGCAACGCGCATCGCATATTAAACAAATATCGCGAGTTATAGCCCCTTTCACGGTGTGTATAATGCCGTGGTTTAGTGCTGCCTCAAAATAACGACGACCACGTGCTGTTCTATGTCACGTATTAAACCACCTGTTGTCACATTACGTTAAAATTGTATCGATTTGTAACCTATATTTGTTGTTATAAATAATTGTTGTCCTCCTACCTCGATTAACTAAAGGCTGGCTTATTAACGTGTAATCGGCTGCGTTGAAGCTTATCAACCGACACACAGTTAGTTTCCAACAGAATTCTGACAGAGAACGCGGAAAACCGGACAAATAAATTGGGTCAACCAGTCGTTCACTAACATCGATGTCAAATGGCCGTTAGAAATATTCAATATTTATTTCGCTGTCATTTTACGAGCTGATTATTTATTTGGCAGTTCCCTTGTTGCAGGTGGTACTAATTATTGGCTAGTGCACATCATTTTTTTTATTTTGTGCATGTTTTCCGGAAGCTCTGCAGTTTCACCTTGTCAATTGGTTCATCACAGAGCGCATGTGTAGTGGAATTCCGTGTAAGTGAGTAAGATAGCTTAAAATTGAATGGTTTATGGATTGGTTCACCTATCGCTGTCTCCTGTTGGCACGTGATTACGTCAGGTGGTGATCTCATGCCGATTTCGTACTACGAGGGTGCGTGGCGTTTTTTTTTTCTCTCTCTCGCATTTACATATTCTGAACTGCCACGTTCGCCTAATTACAGGCGAAGTGTTCTCTCGCTCGTTTCACGTCACAGCCACGAATGGAATACCCTGCTGGGCGCATCTTCACTGACACGGTTACTAACTGTACGGCGAAGCCGACACCGCAACAGCAGCAGCCACAATCAGAAAATATTTCATGAGGGACGTTTTTTTAGCGGATCACGGGAGTCTCGCTTTTTATAAGGCGACATGGCTTACAACGACAGTTCGTCTATTATCATTAATATAACGGATGAGTATTTATCGTACCGGCCACCGGAGTGGTTTTTCAGCTTGTTCGTCCCGCTGTTCTCTGGACTAGTGTGCATTACCGGTATTCCTGGCAATGGATTTGTCATGTTTATGCTACTGCGTTACTCTGGGCTGAGAACCGTGCCCAACGTCTACATTTTCAACCTGGCTTTAGCCGATCTGATGTTTTTGTGCAGTTTGCCGTTTCTCGCCTACCTCAATTCGACGTTTCAGTGGATTTTCGGCGGAATCATGTGTAAACTTGTACTCGGCATAGATGGGATGAACATGTTCACTGGTATTTACATTCTGACTGCTATGAGCGTTGATCGCTATTTGGCGATAGTGCACGGAATACGCTCGATGAAGTATCGAACGGTAAAGATGGCGAAATTTGTCAACTGTGCTATGTGGGCGCTCTCCGTAGCGGTAACATTACCTGTATGGATATACGCACAAGAATATGAAGGGGGTTGTGACATGTCACTACCCGATCACCTTGGAAAATCCTGGTTTATACTTTACACATTCGTATTGGGATTTATCGTGCCGGTATTTATAATAACTGGCTGCTATGTTTTTATTTCATATCACATTTTAACGACAGAAGGACCGAGGTCTGAGAATAAACAAAAATCCATAACCGGTCAAAAAAAAGTGTTCGTCATGGTGGCGCTCGCTGTTGCTGTTTTCATTATATGTTGGTTGCCTTTTTACATTGTGCGACTAGTATATATATTTGGTGTCTATAACAAAAAAGTCATTATACTTTTCTTCGTCAGCATGTGGATGGGGTACGCCAACAGTGCCCTCAACCCGCTTATATATACGTACACGGGTGGCAACTTCCGCAGAAACTTTGCGAAGATGCGGAAGCGATCGTCGGGCAGCCGTAGGAGCTCATTCAGAAACTCTGACCGCCACACGACGATACGGCGAGGCGACAAAATACAGTATACGAAACCGAACCGGACTAAACGTCGGAAGGTGAATCATAACCACGACGTCGACTACGATACGACATACACGACGTGTGTCTACGTCCCAAACCACTCACGCGAAGTCATTACAGAGCTCGTATCCGTGATTTGATCCTTGATCATTATCGTTAAAATTACTTAATTAGTTTTTTCCAAGTAATTATTGGTCAAATGAAGACAGTGTGTAAACTTACGGGACGTTATCGGAGGAATCATTACCATTATCATTATCGTACAAACCTAAAAGACTACAGTATCCGCGTATCGTCATTAGCAATCTAGTGAAAAGTATACACAGCGGAATTGCACTGAGTGAAAAGGAATAGAAACACAGACATCAGACCACAGAATAGATTACCATCTTTGTTACTCTGGTTAATATAAAGGTAATTACTTGAACTAATCCACAGAACCTCGTATCAACAATTTTATTGTTATTTGGGGACCAATCTTGTTGCCATATGTACTTGTTTGTTATATTCCCCATGTTGGCAGTATACTCACGGCATTTACAACGCATCCAGGGAAATTAGACGTTATTTGTAATCGGCTTAAAGAATGGAAAATTGAAATAGGCAGCTTCTGATCCAATTTGATCTGTGCTTGTTGCGCTCTAATGACGGTCCACATTATATAGCTATGCCATCTTGTGTTGCATTCCAAAACAAATACAGTTAGTTGGTGCGCATTACTATGGAATGATATATTAATTTGAAATCTTGATTAGATGGTGCTTCCAGGATGTCATAAAGATCGCCAGTATTGATAAAAGGAATGTGCGTGACAGACTTAACATCACGGTGTCGTATCTTCGTATACATGATATCAACGGATCTAACGAATAATTGAACTTCCAAGTAGAACCGTAAACATGTTACAGTACATGTGCTTAACAAATGTGAGGTGCCGCCCCGCCCACTTTTGTTGAGCAGTCACTCAGCACTGCAGTTAACGTCCATTCTCATTCAGCCCCCAGCCTCGTCCCACGACTTACAGTGGTGAAAGAATAGTGACTGACAGCGCTAGCACTGCTTGGTTCTAACAGTTTGCATTTTATCGTGGGTGGTTCTAGTGTCGTAGTAACTAGACCGAATGTAACTATTTTATGATGTTGACTTTCAGATCGTTATATTTGGCCTGTACAGAGGTACATGTTATTACATGTTGTCTATATGTACCATGCGATGTAGAATAGGGCAAAATAAACTGAATAACGACACACGGGAACTTATTTCTCGCTATCGCTGTAAAACAAACCGTTATCGGATTGTTTCAACATTTAGCATGTTGGTAGTTCACAAGAAAGCATGGGGGCGTGGTGTTAAATTCTAAAGCTCCGATCCGGCTAACTAACATAGTGATCGTATTTCATGTTAATATCGTTTGAGGCCAGAGTGTATGGAAAATCTCGCCCATTTGTTATTTCGCTACTCTCTTTTTTCGCAAATATTGTCAATTCTGTAGACATTATATTATATAGTCATTTTCCACGAACTTCACATTATTTCCATGGCCTGGTCACGGTGCCCTCAACTTGGAGAACACATTGTGAATGTGTTGTTAATAAAAAAAAACAGTATATAAACGTATTTAGTAGTAATAGTTTTCACAGTGTGGTTATATAAAAAAGATCGATGGATTTCAATATAAGAATTGGGGTCACGAGTGATGCCGTGGGCCGAAGTTTAATTATCATACCAACTAGATTTTTCCTTTAAAAAGTATTATTTACGCAAAAGCGTGCTTCTCTCTGCGCTATTATGTGTCTTATGTGTCTACCCTTTTTTCTGACTTAAATAAAATATAAAAAAATATTCCCTTAATGTTTCCCATCAGAAAAACTGACCCTTTTGCATTTGATCGCATAATCATCACGGTGGTTGGAAGTTTTTCGTAGTGACTGATGTAGATTGTATACATATATCTTGATATATCTTCGCCCAAACTCTTCAAATTGAATGGTAATGGGATCGAAGCGAGAGTCGAGGAAGACAGAAAGTATTTAGTGCACCATCCCTATTTGATAGCGATAGAAGATCGGTTAATATTGGGCGAACTTCTTTCAGATTAGTTCATTTTTAGCGACACTTATAAAACCAACTTCTTCTACACAGGTGTTGTAAGTGGGATTCAGACTATGCCTAGTATTCAGCGAAGCAATATCAGCTCACAGGCTGCTCGTTTCAGACATTTTTTGTCGATTATTTTAATATGAGTTAAATCTTACATCAGCGAGTTATCGATTTGTTCCGCCAAATTAATGCACATCCATGTACCTATGGATATTACATCACTGATACTATAAGCACATGTAAATGGTCTAATAAAATAACGAATATCAAGTGATTCACTGATTTTTACTTCTGAAAGTGTTTACATTGTTTAAATTGTTGTAAAAGCGTTCACAATTGGACGTACGCTAGTGATATAACAACAGGTTACCTCCATGTGGAGGTTGGCAATTATTACACTTCATTAAATGAATATTCAAATGAGATTGCAGATTATGTAAAAGCGTGTATGTGCATCGGCGATTATAATCCCTAACCTCACAGTGTATTAAATGCATAAACGCATGTTTGCTATTAAAAAATCCGTAAATCTACGATCAATTCTCAGTGTGCGTATTTTTTTTTCATGGACAGATTTGTTTTGCAGCGAACCGGATATGGCACTAACCTCGCTTATATTCACCATTCACAAGATCACGTACTGTTAGCTTTAACCCTGGCTATTTGTGAAATCACGCATTCAGTGTCCATGTAATTAGTGCCACAATGACAACTCTCATACACTCAGTCATATTTATACGCCGAGGAACGGAATCGTAGTCTAGAGCTGTACAATGCAAATTGTGTTTGCATCGGTTGATAATTGTCAAGGAAAAAATCTTCTCTGTTTTATGTGACGTTATTTAATTTATTGCTATGTTTATGTATGTAGCAAAACAAGGAATAATCATAGACCTTAGAAAGGTCTATGGAATAATTGCTTCGGTAGGCGTCAATTATAGCAAATGGTTGATCATGTTTCAGTGACACACATACCGCGAGATATGTCCACCTTTAGCTATAAAAATATATACGAGAAATCAAACTGAACACGGTTTTATTCTTTGATGCGGTTAAAAAATTACTAGGAATTAACAAAGTGAGTAGAAAATAGAATCACCGTAACGTTCAATATTGACTTTCCAGAGATATTACACACTAGTAAGGTCATTGTTATTAAGTAGAAAAAATATGTCTCGTTAATCTATTGGTGTATCTTGTCATTTTGGCGTGATTAAATGATATCCCCGTATTGTAGAGTTCAACTTTTTATCAATAATTTGATATGATATCGCTTCGTTCTTGCCATATGTTGGTAACTAGCGTACCTTCGATACGCCGCTTGATAACGCACAAATGCAATGTACGGGAGAATGAGCACTCACTTTTACAAGGCGTCAATTGTATCTGTAATACGCGCTCCGTGATTTGAACGCCATTAGCACGATTACACGTCTTCGTGCCGGCGTATCGAAATAGCGAGGTAATGATGATTTTTTTTTATCGATGGTTGGCGCCATCGTTGATATATATTGACCAGGCATTAGTGTGTCGACGCCCGCTGGAGAAACTAAAATACACGCAGTAGTCAATTCAATAACGTCAGTTGAATACTGACTTCATCGATAACCATATATTCAACTCACAGGTCAGAAATCAGTGCCCGCTGAGAAAAAAATTAAGTTGACACGGTAGATATCAATTCAATTTCATGTTTGTTGCTTTGTTTAGTAATACCACATATATTCAGCCAAATGTCAGTGAACTTACATGATATGTATTTATATGCTTACTATTATTTCCGTAACGTTATTGCTTTTTTGCTGTGGGTATGTAATTTTGTTAATGGAGCCTTAAAGAGAACGTATTTTTGCGATATTATTTTTTTCATTTGTTCCAGGTGAAATGATTTAATGTACTATAACGAGATGAATACCTATATTTCTTCATGTGCCAAAGTGGGCACAATGACGTGAGTCATGTATGTTTGTTATTATCCGGGGCTCCGTGCTTTGTATCCTAAACTAAGTGCGAATACTCAAGTTGCAAGGCAGGTCTTACTTATGACTGATTAAAATAACTTGACATCACGGATACGTTCGCCGATGACAGTTTTCCTTTGAGGTGAACACATGAGCATCTAAGTTAATGTGAAAGCGTTTTTTTTATATGAGAAAAAACGACGTGTTGCTTCAATCAGGGGTAATTACTGCCTGTCTGCTTGGTTTCAATATCTCTTGTTGTTGCCTTCGGCAAGTCATGCTTTTCCGCATGTCACAGTCGCTCATTTTACTCGCCGTTGGGGATGGTGACAAACGTCTGGGCTTATCGCATTACTATAGGATTCAACTTCGATGCGTGAAGATGTCAAACCTAGGGATTTTTTTAAGGGGATGGGTGTTTAACTGATGCGCTCGATCAGCTATGGCATGTGCGAATGATCTCACCTGTAAGCGCGTTGCTGGATACACTTTGTAACAATGAAGGCAAGTGACCCGTGAGGGCATAGTGTTGCCGAGAGCAACCTCGTTCGATTTCGTAGCGTGTGTGTCGCTATCAATCACACTATGACGTGCCTGGGGCGAACAATTTCCAACCGGAAAAAAATAAATCCGACACTACAGTGGAATTAGACTTACATACAGACTCTTGTTTATTTTTTGATGTTTTTTTTCAAAAAAATAAAAATATTATGGTATGGTTACCGCGAAATAAACAAGAGACTTGATTGTTTGTAACCCGGTTTGTGCCATTTATACACTCCATAGTAACATTTTATTTTATTGAAAAAAATAACATCGAAATTGAAAAATGAAATTGAAAACGATAGGCATTTTTCGTTTTTCTAGTAAACTATCATCGAGTGAATGTCTCTGTTTATATTAAAAATTGATCGAATTTCATATAAATAAAAATGCGTCATCACCATAATAATAAAAAAACACTCGAAATATTATCTTTCCGCAATTTGAATTTGACATTCACCATACATCGTTGAACCGTTCAACTACAATCAACAAATCTCCACTGTCATAAATTCTTCATTATCTTTTCTTGATTT